CCCCCACCCCCCGCAACAGGCACTGTGGCTACTCAAACCCCGGCAACAGGTACTGCAGCTGAACCAGAGATCCAACCTGTGCTGGTATCAGTCGCCCTTATACACAAGAAGAAATACACAAGAAAATCAGCTCATTTAGTAAGGGATGAAGATGAACCAGGGCCATCACAAGAATAGGAGGAGGAAGAGGCAGAACCCATAAATGAGGTGGTAACCACCCAATCCCTATCCCTCAGTAAGCTGCAAGATATGCAAAAAGGTTTCAGTCATTGTCCAGGTGACCATATCATCACCTGGCTGTTCCAATGCTGGAATAACAGGCCAGTAGCTTGGAATTGGAGGGCAGGGAAGCCAAGCAGCTGAGATCCCTTTCTAGGGAAGGGGCATTGGCAAAGTAATTGGCAAAGGGACACAAGCCCTCGGCCTCTGGAGGCGACTCCTGTCAGGCATGAAGAAAAGGTATCCCTTCAAGGAAGATGTTATATGTCACCCGGGCAAGTGGACCACCATGGAGAGAGGTATCCAGTACCTAAAGGAATCAGCTGTGCTGGAGGTGATGTATGATGACCTGAACAATGATCAGTTATCCAAAGATCCAGATGAAGTCAGGTGCACACAACCCATGTGGTGGAAGTCTGTACAGACCGCACCTTCATCACATGCAAACTCTTTGGCAGTAATGACCTGGAAAGACAGAGAGGAACTAAGGTGGATGAAGTGGCTGGCCAACTCCAGCAATACGAAAAAAGTGTCTCTTCCTCCCTATGGGCCTGCACCTTGGCTGTGGAAAAACTGTCTGAAAAACTATCCCAGGAGTTCCAGCAACTCAGAGAGGACCTGTATGGACCAGTATCTCAGCCATTTAGAGTAAGTGTCCCTCTGCTCAAGAGAGAGGATATAGTGGATCCACACCATGGGACACCGTGTGGTTTTACCTGTGTGACCACAGAGAGGACATGAGGAAGTGGGATGGAAAATCTACCTCAACCCTAGAGGCACAGGTATGTGAATTGCAAGGAAAAACCATCACAAAAGACGGTTCTTCCAGGAAAATTGCTGCTCCAGTCTCCAGTGAGCAGTTCCCTAGACAGGGCTGAATTTGCTTCTGATCTTAATAAAGGGGCTTTTGATTTGCATTTAAAAGAAGTGAGTAACAAATGCTATGACCAGGACTAGAGGGGCCCTGCCTCCAGCCAGGTGGAGGAAAGGGACAACCGGGTTTACTGGACTGTGTGGCTTTGATGGCCTGGCACATCAGACCCACAGGAGTATAAGGCTCTAGTGGACACTGGTATTGCAGATGTTCCAGAGCTTCACCCTGTTCCAGTGCAGTCTGGATCAGTCCATGGCAAATGGTAGGGTTGTGTTTCCGCCCCTGGGGCAGTTGATTCCACGTGTACTGGATGAGCCTCCAAGTGAAACAAAACTGTGGCCTGGCGAATTGGTTATATCACACTCCCACAAACCCGCCAAGGCAAGCACCATGTGCTCACCATGGTGGAAGCAACCACCGGATGGCTGGAAATACATCCTGTGCCCCATGTCACCACCCAGAACACTATTCTGGGTCTTGAAAAGCAAGTCTTATGGTGACATGGCACCCCAGAAAGAACTGAGTCAGACAACGGGACTCATTTCCGAAACAACCTCATAGACACCTGGGCCAAAGAGCACGGCATTGAGTGGGTATATCACATCCCCTATCATGCACCAGTCTTCTAGAAAATCAAATGATAAAACGGACTGTTAAATGCTACACTGAGAGCAATGGGTGCTGGGACGTTCAAACATTGGGATGCACATTTAGCAAAAGCCACCTGGTTAGTCAATACTAAGAGATCTGCCAAATGAGCTGGCCCTGACCAGTCAAAAGTTTTACATACCGTAGAAGGGGATAAAGTCCCTGTAGTTCACATAAAAAATATCCTGAAGAGGACAGTCTGGGTTATTCCTGCCTAGGGCAAAGGCAAACCCATCCATGGGATTGCTTTTGCTCAAGGACCTCGGTGCACTTGGTGGGTAATGTGGGAGGATGGGGAAGTCCAATGTGTACCTCAAGGGGATTTGATTTTGGGTGAGAATAGCCAATGAATTAAATTGTATGATGTTATTTGCTATACAATACTGTATATCATCACTTCTATGGTGGCTATATGCCATATCAACAGTATTACAGTAAGAATCACCTAGATTAATGAAGAATGAACTTTGACAAAAATAAGCAAAGTGCAGCAATGATAGAACTGGACAAGTGCAGCGATAATGGAATCAGAACTGGCTTCAGCATGCAACAATCCAACACCACACACCATCTCTCCTGCCCTGAAGGACTGTTATGACAGATGGAGCGCAAAGTCATGGACTAAATGAACTCAACAAACATTTTATAGGGATGGCCCATAGACTAAGGGAATGATATCTGTATGTATATATCAAAAGACAGGAAAGGTGGTGGTGATTAAGCGGAATGTATTTGAAAGTGTGGGACCTGGGCATGACATAGATGGTATAGAATGAGGGGTGCATACTGTCCTAGTTTCAGCTGGGACAGAGTTAATTTTCTTCCTAGTAGCTGGTATAGCGCTGTGTTTTGGATTTAGTATGAGAATAATGTTGATAACACACTGATGTTTTAATTGTTGCTAAGTAGTGCTTACACTAGTAAAGGACTTTTCAGCTTCTCATGCCCTGCCAGCGAAAAGCTGGGAGGGGACACAGCCAGGACGGGTGGTGAGCATTTGCATATGCATCACTTATTTTGTATATTCTGTTATTGTTGTTGTTGTTGTTATTATTATTATTTTCCCTTCCTTTTCTGTCCTATTAAACTGTCTTTATCTGAACCCATGGATTTCATTTTTTTTTCCCCAATTGTCTCCCCCGTCCCACTGCGGAGGGTGGGGGAGTGAGCGACCGGCTGCATGGTGTTTAGCTGCCTGCCGGGTTAAACTGCAACAATTTCGTAACTGTTCAGCCTATCCTTCTCATTACTCTGCATCACAAACCATTTCAGACATGAAGCTAGTCTTGTTTCTACCAGCCGCCATACTTCTACAGGATTTACTGGTGAGGAATTAGTCTTTGGTGATGTACATGGGCACCATCTCCTTTCAGATGTATTTGTAAAAGCATTGAAAAACTCCTTGTTTTTTCTATAAGCCCACTGTTTATCTGGACTTATAGTTTCGTTGGTCTGATACCTTTCAGAAGACAATTTATTGTCCATGCAGAAGTGAGCATGGTGGTTTGGTTTCTGAGGGCTTCTATGCGCTCTGCAATAATGATGTTCCTGCCGTCAGGGGATCCTAGCCAAAGTGCTATTTTCAGAAATAAACTGCCAAGCTTCTATGTGAAGACTGGAAAAACAGTCTCAATAGGTAAGTCCTCAAGTGCAACAAAACATGAGAAAAAAATTCCTTTCCCAAAGTTCCAGGTCTCTGATTCTAGATAATTTATGACTTTGTTTTCCCCACTCTTGATCACTTCATATATCACGGTAGGTTCTGAATGTGCAGATTGTTGTGAGTGAGAACGGATGGGATGAGCAGGAATCTGTATGTACACACCCTCAGGGGAAAGATAAATTCACAGAAGTGTTGTCTGCATATGTGTACTTACAGAATGAAGTCTTTAGCAGATACAGATTAATATACATTCTTTGAAATCTAGGAACTATTCTGATTTACACCAGCCAGGATATCTTGTCCTTGAGCATCTCACTCTTTGTTCTCCTGGATCCTCATTACTATCTGGCAATTTACTTTTAATAAATTTTAGTAATATGCAGTAATCTACCTGTAAAATTTATCAACATAACTTTTAGCAAAACAAACCCTATTTTTTGAGATACAGACAACCCTTAAGACTTACTGAAGCTGTTGGGAGCAAACACCACAGCATTTCATAAAATGGTCCTAAGTTTTTGTAACCAAAATGACCCATTTTATGTCATTCCATATTTACTGAAAGCTGTCTTACACAATTGCATACTCAGCTTCATGACTCATGCTGGGGAAACTGAGAACACTAATAAAACTGTGTTGGGCTTTTCACTGATACCTGAATAGGGGTTATGGTGGTCCCCATTCAGTATGTCGAGTTTTTAAAAGTAACTTTTAATCTGAATCTAAACAAGTGGTATTACTTTGCAGCTAAATTTTGAAACAAAATATATGTATTTGGACAGTCTTGCTGATTTTTTTCTAGTTATAAATTTAGAAACACAGAACATCCTACGCTTTCTATAAATCTTATTAGTTATGAAGTTGCTGGAAAACTGGCTTAAATCCACAGCTTCTAGGTATTTTAGAAATAGTTCTCACTCTGTTTTTCCATGTATAAGGGAATATAATTTCTGCCAGCTATCTCCACAAAACAATTAATTTATTTCACAGTAGCTTCAGCTGCTGTCTGCAGTGACTTTAGCTATAGCTTTAAAAACTATCTGGTCAGGCTTGCCAGTAATATTTTGCAGGTTTTAATTCCTTTGTTTTATTTATGGAACCCACCACTTTCCCACAGAGTTTTTCAATGCCTACAAGAAGAAACTGATATCTGTACATCAGAAAAGTTAATTAAAAAAAAATTTCTTGCCTGAGACAGACCAAAATCCATAAAGAATAATCTTTGTACTCCTTGGTTGGCATACCTTACCTTTAGGAATTAGATAAACAACTCCTAGAGCTAAATATACTCTTTTTTTTTTCTTTTTTTTTTTGAGTGACTAATGAATTTTGGTGTGTCAGTCTTTCGCAGTTTAATCTGAACTCTTATTAAAAGGTCCTCATTTTTTAGAAGAGCTTGTGTTTTCTAGTCTTTTGATTTGCCTAATGTGAGTATCTGAAAATTAAAACATTCAGTATGTGGTTTCATGGCATAAAGTGCTCAGTAAGAACACTGGCTTTAGGTACTGTTTTCCCTTTTTCCTCCTGCCGCCCTGCACTGTGGCATTTGGCTGAGAGCAGACACTCAGCTCTGCTGAAAAATTGTTTGTGGCACCATGCTGTGAGGTTGACTATGGAACTGAAAATCTTGCAGATAAGCTCTTCGTAGTGTGAAACCATGGCCCAGAAATCACTTGTCACTCTAGACACTGCAGGTCTTCCTGTTCCAGAATTTGGAAAATCCTCCTGCTCTGTTTCTTCCATTTCTAGGAGTCAGTGAAATCATACTCTTTGAACGCTGTGTCTCCTCATACAACACTCTTACAGAGCTATTGCTCACTGGATCTCCTTTTCCATTATGATTGCATTGTTGGGACATTATAAAAATGTGGAGGCATTTGCAGGTAGGCAAAGACTGTCATGCCCTTCTGCAACTCTTCTTTGAGGCAGAGAGTGTAGATTCGTTCCTCCAAAACAATACGGGTTGCATCCAATTACAATCTGGCAATTACTTCTGTGAAAAAAAATTGCAGTGTGAGTTTTCTATTGTAAATTTTGGTTTTGTTATTTGCCTGTGCGGTGCCTGTGGGTGAAAGCAGAATAATACAAGAAAAATTATGATTTTTCTTAACAGCATAAAGACATGCATGATCGGAAGGAGGAGTTGCACAGTCACATTGCTCTGTCTCTGATACAGGAGGCAAAAGCTGACACACCATGGCATCCTGTGCTAGAAGGAAACCTATTGCCCCTGTGGCTCCCCTGGCAAATTCAAGCCTGATTAATTATTTCTGGAGGGTCATTCACTGTCAGGTGTTCCCTATGGGAGTCACAGTACATGAAGAATTACATAGCACTTTTGGCAAAAGATAAGACACGGGGCACTAATTGGTCTATGACAGTGACAATCATAACCTTGTTGAAAAAAAAACCTTTGCTTAAGCAGAACTAAGTAAGAGCATTTGAATGTCTCTGCCCACAACC